TTTTTTTTTTCGAAAATGTCTGTTCATTTGCAAGCTTTTGCAGAAGCGCTTTTGGCGTTGCAGATGTTAACAAGTGCTCAAAAATAATGCAGGAGCTTTCCAGGTGATTTAAAATGACCACAGTTATTACTATGCACTAAATTATTACCTATGCATAATAAAATTTTAATCCTCCAGATACCTTATAAGAAATAAAATACTATCCAAAAGGCCAACGCTTAAAATCCTCGCAAATCAAACGTGATCGCTTCCTCTTTCACATAAAGGGGCAGAAGCACGCTCATTTCTCACCTAAATTATGCTTTAGAAGTGCGACAGGCAGCCAATATTCAGCAAACTCAACAATATTTTTTGACGGCCTTGCAAGTACAATGCGAGCGACAAGCGAGATGAGTCGAGAAATACTATAAAAATGCAGTTTTTCAAAATCTACCCTATCCTATTAAACAAAACTTGTACTTCTTGCTGTGGCCTCTCTTTCAAAGATGCTGTAAACTAGCGTATTAATTTCCCAGTGCGCTGTTGTAGTACGCAGCGACCATATCTTCACAGCTGCTGTATTTTAATTCTTATTTTCACTGGCTTCCGTGGTTTGTATTTTTTCTTGTTTCTTTATATTTAAGCGCATGAGACGTATGTATGAAAATATGATGTGTCCCGTCTGGAAATGAATAAATGAAACAAAGAAAATGAAACGATAGGCAAAATAAGCAGGGAATTTCCAGCTTTATTTATTAATATCAAAGAAGGGTAGAAAAGAGAAAGTTTTTGTCACTGCTGAGGCGAAATACAATTCATGTGATTCCCACAGCAACTAGCCAGATTTCTGCAAATCCGTCCTGACAAACAGCTAAAGACGACAGGCGATATCATCTGCAGCGTTGGGTGCCTTCTAAGGTCTTTTGTGGGTGAGTGGTACTGCTTATAGCAACTCTAATGAGTATACTCGTCTTTGAATATTATTCAGTTTTTACTGTTTCGTATTCTCGGGGCATTTGCGCACTGTTTTAGAAAAGGTCGAAATTTGAATTATTGGTGATGAAAAGGAAACCTGATAAATTTCATTCAGTTTCAATCGCTTCTGCGGGCTGCTCTCGATGGCCTCAATTATGAGATCCTTATAGCTAAGACTCGGTCTCTCCGCTTTCTCCACGACAGCGGAAGATTCAGCGGCAGCGATGGTAGTGCTGATGTCTCCAGGACTGTTGACTGTTGAATGCACTGCTTCTGGCGTGGCGCTCTTTCGTTCGATCGTCGATGTGGACGGAGAGGTGGTGGTGGTGTCATCTAGCGGCGGTGCCGGCTCCGATTTTGGTGATCCGGAACTTCCCTTCCTTGTATCTCGGAAACCGGAATTATCATTTTTCCCCAGAACTGCTGGACCAATTAGATCCATCAATTCCAGAGCACTGCCAATGTTGGCAGTCTTCTGCGATGAGGGTGGACACAGCTCCAGCGTGAATGGGCCGTTTTGCTTTTTCTTCTCTTTTTTTTTATAACAAAATAGTCGGCCCGGAAACTTTCGGATAGCTGGAATCCGCGTTTGTCATTGATTGAGCGATAAACTTCTGCAAAATAATGTAAACCAATGTATGCAAATTTCTAAAGTGAAAAACGTGCAAATCTGGGAAACGCGATAATCGGTGAAAGAAACAGCAAACGAAAAACAACATTAACGGAGATGTAAAAACATCTGTTATTCGGTGCCAACAATAATACATTTTCTTTCTCCCCCCCCCCCCCCCCCCCCCCCCCCCCC